TTGTTATTGTGTAACACAAGAACATTCCTATTGTTTCTACAAATTTGAAACTAAAACTCTCTGCAAGTTAGCCACGCAATGAGTAGTTGCATATATTTGTAACTCATACCTCACTGCTAGGCGTAATTCCTGTTTTTGCCTTACGTTAATAGCGCATCCTTATCGCATTATGACGTGAACAAAATGGCAAAATTACGAAAGTTTTGTTCTAAACAATCTTTTCGTCAAAGGAATTTGCAAAAAAATAGGTACATTCTCAAGCATTATATTAATTTTCGACTGGAATAGAATGACCCAAGTAAAGAAACTATGCATTGAAAATACATGAATTTCTTAAGTTATTGATATGTGCAACTGAAAAAAGAAAAGGTCTTTAAAATCTTACCTGTATAGGTGGGTAGACGTTTCGCACATAGTAGGCAACACCAGTGGAATCATTTTGAGGACAATACAATATATTGTCGCTTTGATACTCACATCGATCCATGTCAATGGCTGACATGATGCGACTGTATCTGGGAGAGAAAATTTCGAACTCAACGACCATCGCTCGAGAGCCCGGTATGGTAAAGACGGAGCGACGAAGCACGAAAAATCGCGGGATTATTCCGATAGGAGCATCAGGCGACGGGCAGAGGGGGTTGGCGACTCGGTATGGAGATCGAGTCGCACCGCCCATTTTTCAAAGAAATTATGCTGTAAAGGTGAGGAAACAACTGGGCAGAAAAAAGAAGCTCGTAGATCAAATTGCATGGATTTTTGCACAAAAACGCAAGATAGCAATATTTGGAAAACGAGAGAACAACGATGAAAGGGAATGAAAGGAGCAGAGCATGTTGGCAGTTTACATGACAATGAAAAACACATTCATCAGCTGGAATAGTTTCTAATATATGTGTACGTAAGAATGTGAGAGAACATACGTTTCATATTGATGAAGAATAAGAGCTGGCTTATAAAAGATAAATCTTCTTTACTTTAACTAATCTTTTCCGTTACAAACAGCCACAAGACACTCAAACTACAAAGTGCTTCCACGATCAAACTGCCTTCATGATGCATGAGCTTCATCTCCACTTTATCTCATTTGAGCT